ATAAAAAAGAATTCGGCACTCTTCTGAAACCATCGGAAATCTTCGGTAATCTTCGGAAGGGTTTGGGTTAGGGTGTTTATCAGAAGCGTTCCAAAATGTTCGGGTGATATTCGTTGATCTGTCGAAAGGTTCAGATGATGTTTGGAAGTGCTCGGAAATCGTCCGATTAACTTAGGCTATCTTCGGAATTCGAAGGTTTCGGGTGAGGTTTGTTCACCTTCGAAAGACCTCGGATTACCGTTGGTAGTCATGAGGGTCTTTATACTAACTTCGGATATTTTTGTTTTAATTTGCACAAGTGTTTCAAATTTGCACTAATGTTACATGAAAACTGCACTCCTTTTTAGCCAATCCGAATCGAGCATTTTTTTTTTATCAAGTGTATTGTTATTTTTGCTCCTGACTAGAGAAAATTCTTAAATCTTGAAAGCTGAGTTTCCAAGGCCACAAACTTCATAGATTTGCAGCAGAGCTCCGGTCGCCCGACGAACCACCAAGCGGAGCACCATGGTCATTTGTATGGTCATAATGGCAAGCAATATTGCTCGTGCGCGCGTAAGTACGATGAAGACGACGACGTCGCGCAACTGATGGCGGCCTTACTCCAGCTTATATGTCTTACAAAACAGTAAACACAGCGGAAAAAGTGTTTGCTTTGATCGTGACCTATCGGAAAGATTAGTTCAGTTCAGGCGTCACAACCTTTTGCTGGAAGTTTCTGAAGGGAAGACTCATACTGACATGAATTACCAAATTGCGGTAAGCGACTCTTTGTTGTAAAAACTACCGCCGCGTTTTTTGCTTCAACGAGATATCTTGAATAGAAGTTGTAAAGTCTTCCTGATTTGAAACCATGCTGTGAGTCATTTAAAATATTTCATTATTTTAATTTCGCTAATCTCTTAACAATATAACACTTGAGTTTTATTTGTCGAAATCGTTTAAATTGCAATTGTAAACAAATAGTTCTTTTCTGTCGGTTTTAGCTTACTGCTATGGCGAATTTCGAAGTTTCCTTTGTGCTAGTAGGGACAGTCGCTTCGAAGACGGCTAAGTTTTTTCCTTCTATTACGGTTGGCTTTGTGCCCCTTGTAAATAGTAGTTTACATAGTCTTTACAACGTATGGTCGTTTCTTGAATATATTTGATTTAGTCAAAGGCTTATTAGTGAATTAAACAACTGGTAAAGCTACGGGCGATAAAATGAATGCAAAGCCGTCGGCAAAAATTATCTTGAAATTAAGCTTTAGCGTGAATAGTTATTAAACGTTAACACCGCACGCCTTTGACGAAGCTGTCTCGGAGTCACGATATTTTGCAAGGCCAACAAAGTTTCAATATGTTTGTTTTTGTTCAAAAATGACGTCTGAACATAATAGAGTTTGAAAGTTCGCACTCGCATTTAAAATACTTTAAAGTCTTGCACTCGTTATTTAAAAAGTCAAAATGTCTTAGACTAGGAAAGGAAAATGGTAGTCTCGCCTTCTCGCAATGTCTCGCATTAACCATTCAATACCCCTACTTACCCTGGGTATATGCAAGAGGCCTTTTGTACGCTCGGCTGATCCGGGTGAAATAGTTACTATGTTATACTCTCTCGGTTACTGTTGTTGTTGTTCGTCCTTCGTAGTCGAAGATGACCAAAGACATCTAGTTTGTTAATAAATTTCTACGGTGTGCCCGGAAGTGGCTGATGAGACCAATCCGGGCAAAGAAGCCTCTCCCACAGGTAGGGCAGAAGTGGGTAGGGGCTGTGCTATTAGTGCTAGCGGCTCTTTCTTTGCGTACTGCTCGCTTCTCGTCGGCTACACACGCTGTGATTGGTCAATTTCGCGGGCCGTACTTTAGTGTGCGACCCGCTAAAATTTAAAGCTGTTTTTGTCGACAAAATGTTTCGTGATTCATCACCAGTTGTTTTTAACTTTTATAGCAAGTAAAGTTGAAAACTTTCTTTTACTTTAAATTGTGCTAACAAGTAAACGACCATTTCAAATTGACTCGTTTTGCTTTCGACGTGCTCCAGAAATTTGAAGGCGTTCCGCGTGAATAAAAATCGTTCTCGAACCCGTCAGACACAGTAGAGACAAAATAAACATCTTTTAACCTAGTTTTCTCGGTCCGTACTGCAAGTTACGGACCCTCGTTTTCCCCGTCAATTTATGGCCGGCGCGCTTCGCGCTTGGGCCATAAATCGAAGGGGAAAAAACTCGGTCCGTGATTTACAGTAAGGATCTTGAACTCGATTAGTAAGAGGTCTGGATTGATTCGCATGAATAACCTCTAGGCCGGAGCGCTATTCCTCTGATGAAGCCGAACCAATGACAAGCAATTTTAAATTAAGAAACTAAGGCTGCTAGGCTCAAACAACCCCTGAGAAATTTTGAATCAAACGGACCCCATGACGCAATTAGTTTTAAAGACGCGGAAGAAATTAACAGCGCATCGAATGAACTATGTGCATGTCAAGGAGTCCAAAAAAATAGCCAAGTTAGAGAGTAATTCCTTAGTTTCGAGGTAGAGTTTACAAGAATCTAAAATCAGTCTATAGCTCTGGAATATTTTGCAAAAAAAACAACAAAAAAAAATTATTAAGTTATGAGCTTCAATTTCCGAAGTATAGTTCCTTTTTCTCTGACTTAATTAATAATTTCTTTTTACATAATTTGAAGGTTTTCTTTCCAACACAGTAAATATAGGTTTATAAATGGGTTTATTTTACGAGCTCTCTTTTCACAAAGCAAAGTACTTGCAATTCAATTATTGCACCTAACTGTGAACTGGGCTGAAATTCGTTTAGCCTCAGTCAAATAGATTTAGCTCAAAATTATCAAAATTCAAAATAAAATGTTACAAAGAGTTCGCTGAAGATTAATAATAAATAATTATGCAATGTCAGGTCAATTTTTTTTGTTTTCCAGTCTCCCTCTGTACCTTAAACATCGTTATTTTAACAAAAAGTCATTGACGAAGGTGACTGTCCGATGAATGATCCCACCGGAAGTAAGTTAAACTAAATTGGCTCCAAGGACACTGATTTTGTAATAGTCCACGATTTCAATTACCGGTAGCTTTTAATCAAAAAAGCTCCTAAAATCAACCTAAATTAACTAAGGAAGAATTTTCAAGATGGTCACGGCCGTATACGTAACGACTTTCAGTTGAACTTAATCTATCTTCATTCCAAGTTATAATACAACCCGCTGGTGCAAGTGTTATAAGCAGAGAGAGATACAATGATGTGTAAACATCACGGAACGTGTAACTAATTACAACATCATCATCATCATCAGTCCTCATCGCGCCACCGGACGCATAAGGCCTTAACTAATTACAAAGTGACAAGAAATATAGAAAATACAGGGGCTTAATCAGAATTTTACAACGGGGGGGGGGGGGTCACACTGTGTCAAAGTGAGAGTACTCGCCAGATTGTCATGTCGTTTTCGCCACCTGTTGTAGGTTGTTTGCTTAAAAAAGGCTTACAAAAGGGGGTCATAGGCATCTCAGTACCCCTCCCCCCAGCTACGTCCCTAAAATACAACTAATAATGGGGTGGTTTAGATAAATATATACAGGCAAAAACTGACGATAGACAAATCCGACGTTTCGGCGACATCTTGGCGCCATTGTCAAGGGAAACTAATTAAATATGCGATTTCAAGAGTAACTAAGAGTTCAGAGTTACTAATTTGCATAAGTTGACAAAGTAACTCTGAACTCTTAGTTACTCTTGAAATCGCATATTTAATTAGTTTCCCTTGACAATGGCGCCAAGATGTCGCCGAAACGTCGGATTTGTCTATCGTTAGTTTTTGCCTGTACATGTTTAAATAATGGGGTGGCGGTAAGTTTATTTTTACGAAACTAAATAGCCAGTGTTTGAAAAAGGGCCAACGAAAGTTAAATTTCAATTTACAGCAGTGGGTTGATATCTCTCGATGGTTGATAGTGGTGCAAGGGGACCGCGGACTTTTTGTTTTTGACGACGTTATATTTAACACCTGAGAGACACATGTCCTTAACTAGGACATTAAAAGTGAGACCCTTGATGTCGTTATGGAAACCGAGCTAGGTATTGTTAGTTTTATAAATCTTGACTACCAAAGTTCGTACTCACCCAGTCGTTGGACGAAGAAGCTTTTCAATCTGAGATGAAAGCTAAGTTGTAGTAGCCAATTCCATATTTGAGAGGTGCCTCCAGGGAAACATGGTACTTGTATTCATCATTTTGGACTAGATAATTGTTTGGTTGAATACAACTACCAGTTCCTGGCAGGTCCACACCAGCCTTAAGGTTGCCGCAAAAATTATATGTATGTATGTATGTATTCCTCGGAGGCACCTCTCGTATGGAGAATGGGCCGTTGTCTCGTGAGCTCCCTCCTGATGTGGAAATCATTTGACCGTGAACGCCTGGAAGAAAGCCGTAGAGGACTTTTGCAAGTATTGGCTAAAGTATCTGATATAACGAAACCGTGAAAGGAAGGACCAAATTTGGGGTGCGTAATTGGTTAGCGCTCTGGGCTCCGGGACCAGCTGTCTGGATTCGAACTCTAGTCATTGTGTTGTGTTCTTGGGTGAGACGCTTTACTCTCACCGTGCCTCTCTCCAACCTGGTGTATATACAAACGAATTTACCTCTGTGTAGCTAGGGGTGGGGAACCCTGCGAAAACCTCAGAAAACCTCACGACAAAGTTACAAAACCCAAATCAAAATTCTACCTTTTCCTGGGTTAACTTAATCGGGCTCTGAACAACCCGGCCCAGGAGCTACACTTTTAGGCTGGCCTAAATCTATTTATTATATGGCTAGCTCCGTGAGCGGGCAAGATGAATCAAATCCTGCGCTGTGATTGGCTACCNTTCTTTTTTTTGCGAGTTTATGGACCTCGACTCCATCTCGGTCCATAAACACGCAGAAAAAGAACTTGGCCAATATCCAGCCATCTTGACCTCACACTTGGTCAATAACCCATACATATTGCCCTATTCAGTCACGCAATACGCAGAAATGTTGCGTGACTTAGGTTCGACTCAATTGTGGCTCGATTGTAACTAATAAAGACGTAACACAAACATGGCCGCTCTGGATTTTCGATGAAATAAACAGTCGTGGTTTGGTTAGTTCTTCGTGTGTTTCGTCACAATCTGCCTCAGAACTAAATTGGTTTCACCATTGCCAATCTCTGGTTCGCCTTCTGTCATCATTGGCAGTACACCAAAAACATATAAACGACAATGAACAAAGAACAAAACTTATGACGAAACAAAAGTATGCGTGGAACACAACATACATGGATTGCAACGTTTAACAGCATCTAAACCAAAGTGGAAGTGAAGACACAAACGGACACACATGTATAAACAACACAAAACATGGCCTTCTCGAACGCGAGCACTACTCAGTTTGAAAACTTAAAAAAAACATCTGGAGGTTATTAAAAACTACTCCATTCAGAATATGACTGTCTTCACAATGCTTCAAGCGCTCAAAGTATGGCCGTACATCACAAAACAAAGCTACATTAATGCTACAAACAACCGAGCACTCAAATACACATGGCAAGACAGCACGTTTTGAACTCGTGGACTGGGGACTAAAACAATGTCTGCGCATAATCTCCATCGTAGCCGCTGTGCGGTTCCATTGCAACGTCGATGCAAGATGGCGTCTTCTCAAGAGAGTCGTTTACATTAAGCTAATCGCACATCTTTTGTCTTTGTATTCGGCTGAGGAGTTTCAGATTTAGGACGACAAAAAATGATCTTTAATGAGTAGCGACTCTTTCCTACAAGCGTTTGGTCTATTTTGCAGTATGTGATCGTGAACTGGACTTAATGATTGTACACGTTCGGTTGTCATGGAACATTGTGGACAGTACACAATTCTTGGCAATATCGGCGAAGGAGCTCATGGAATTGTCTTCAAAGCTAAGCATATCGAGGTATGTTTCGTTGTCGTTGATCTGAATTTTTGTTTTGGTATCTACACAAATATGCAGCGCTTAATTTATGATAGTATGTGATTTTGATTTTGTAACTGATCTAGACCTTTGCGTTGCTCCTTGTAGTAAGCTTAATAGTTTTGGCCTGCTACTTAGTCTCTGAGAAAGAATGGTCGATTGCAATTATTGCAATTATATGCAGAAGGTCGAAATTTTGTGTGGTGAACTAGGCCAATTTTTTAATCATTACTTTGTTGTTTTTAATTTGGGTTTGAGTAATGTACATGGTAATGAGTTTGAAACAAAAGAAACAAAAATTTGTTCTTGCTATTGTAGAGTGGAGAAGTTGTTGCTTTAAAGAAAGTTCCTTTGAGAAAACTGGAAGATGGGATACCAAACACTGCTCTGAGGTTTTCAATGTTTATTCTATTTCCCAGTGTATATAGAACTATAAATTGTTAAAACTTTTATCATTCCAATTGGTCACTCTTTTAAGTGTAGTCCATTCCTTTTCATCCATCAATGGTTTAATTTAATCAATCCTGTGAAATTCCAAACACAATGGAAGACAAAGCTGTGGAATGAATGACACAAACAAAAGAAGCCCCTGGCATGCAAATACATGTAGAAACTGTTTATAAGATCATTCATTAAATTAACAGGGATGATATCACATGAAAAAGTACAATGCCAGTTACTGTGAATTTCTGCTACAGTAGCTATTGAGTTGGGACCTTAAGGGCCCATTAACCGATTCATGTGCACGCTCGCGCGCGTTGCTAAGGAGGTGAAATTTCAGTTCCGGTTACTTACGTCAGTCTGAGGACGGAAATAAAAACAACTCAAAAACTTGCAAATTCGCATACATTTTAGATGTTTTTCTTTGAAATGCAAAGTGAAAAAAGTACAAGCAAAGACAAAATAAGAGAAAGATAGTAAAACAAGAGCAAAAGAAAGAGAAAAACTAACTCCGTGTGGCTTTGTTTGATCTTATGGAAGTGCGCTGGTAGTGTAAATTGAGCACGCGCTGATAGGGTAACTTCCAATAGATATCGGGCGCACTTCCGGTTTCTTTAAATGCTAAAGGAAACACAGTTTTTTTTTTATTAAATCCAGCCTTTTTCGATGAATTTCGATTAAAGCCAACGTTGGCAACATACACCTGTAGCTATGCATTCCTTTTTCAAAATCATGCTTTTTTCAGAAAATTACGAGTTTTTCAATATTTTGAAATGTTCTCAAAATCTGACCTTTTAGAAATGAAACAAAATCGATGCACAGCATAATGAGAATTTAAATTAAAATGTTAAATCAATGAAAAAAATCCCGAGAAAGTAATTTGCCTGGGAGCCTTTGCATTTTTTCTGTAATAGTCACATGACCATGGACATGGCCTGATGACGTCATCACTAGTGTTACTGATCATGAAAAAGTTGAAACACATGAGATAACTCTGAACTAACTTAAAATGATGAGGTTATATGAGACTAAATTTTCCTTAGCAACGGCTTGAAAAGATCAGTTAATGGGCCCTTAAACTTAGGTTTACATGATTGTATAATTATATATCAGTTTTCTTACGGTATAGTGTTAAACCTGCCGATTCACCTTTAACAAATAAAGGAATTTTACTAGTAAAGGTAAATTGTTATGGCTGGGAAATAGGTGCTGTAATATGCCTGACTGCTTGACCATGTTAAACCTTATTAAACCCACTTACTGAAATGCAATGGATTGATCAACTTGTTGAGAATCATGACTTATTACTTGTCTCTCAGTCTAGTGTTGATACTTAAGATTTAATGAACATGACCAATTAATTAATTTGACAATTGATTGACTTTCAATTGCCTACAACCTAGAGAAATCAAGGCACTTCAAGAAATAGAAGAAAATCAAAATGTGAGTACCTTCGTGTACATGTTAGTTAAAGGTAAAGTCTGCATATGAGCCATAAAGTGGCCCATCAGGCTGAACTTATCCCAGTTTCTGAAGCATGAAGCGACTAGGAGTAAATGTATTAATTTTCTAATCCTCCCTGGATGGGATGCTAGTCCATCATATGGTTACCCCCAGCATTAATTAAATTTGATGGCACCCATTTATACAACTGTGTTGAGAGGCACTGTAAGAGTTAAGTGTCTTGCCCATTAAGAACACAACACATTAGGTCCGAACAGCTCGATCCAGAGGGATAGCGCACTAAACATGAGGCCACCATGCCTTCCACACATACATACACAATGTAAAATTAAATGTATCTTCTTTGAGTTGTAAATTTCATAAAACACATGTTAATCGCATCAGTCCAATAAATTTTTATTTTGACATAACTTTATCAGGTTGTGAAGTTGATTGACGTGTTCCCTTATGGGACGGGATTTGTGCTGGTGTTTGAGTACATGCTCTCTGATTTGTCTGAAGTTCTGCGCAATTCAGCCAGACCATTGACTGAGGTTTGTAGTGAATTTGATCTAGATACCTTGGATATACTGTACATGTAACTTGTGTCGATTTAGCCTCTGCAGTGTGACTAGCTCCATATTGTTGACTCTAGCCAGTTATGATCATGACTTTTCAAATAGACCCTTAGTTGTTGTGTGTTGTTACTTTCTTTAGATTTAAAACAGATCTTATGAATTGTTTCCTGATAATATGAATTTTAAAAAGTATCCCCTCGCTAATACACTGTAAGCACTGAAATGTGATAAGTACAATGTACCACCTATTGATACATGTAGCTCTNCCCCCCCCCCCTAAAAGGCATATTTGTACAGATCTAATTTGATCAAAATTTCACAACAATATTAAAATGACTTGAAAAGGTGCTTGCTTTCTTTCTATTTGTAGGCCCAGATCAAAAGCTACATGTTAATGTTGTTGAAAGGAGTGGTGTTTTGTCATGAAAACTCTATAATGCACAGGGTACGTACAAAATAGAGGATATTACACGATGGCGAGAAGATATGAATTTTATTTTTGAGTGGCAAGAACAATATGTCACAAGTGAGTGCAGCGAACGCCTGAGATATTGTTCATGCCACATGGTACACGATGTAGTAGTAATTATTTTAGGGGAACACTTCTCAAGGTATATGTACATAATTATACATTTCTCTCTGTGAAGGACTTGAAGCCTGCAAACTTGCTCATCAGTTCCACCGGGCACCTGAAGATAGCCGACTTTGGTCTTGCAAGAGTCTTTTCCAATGAGGGCAACAGACTGTACAGTCATCAGGTTGCTACAAGGTACTGTTCATGTAATAATTATATCACACATGAGAGACAATGTTTTATCAGCTGAGGATATCCAAACACTAAGAAGAGAGTTGAGAATATGATGCACAGCGGATTATTTTTGATGAAATTTGAGGTGTTTGGATAGCCGATGAAACACTGTCTTGAGTGTTTGAAATATCCTCTCAATCAAAACAAAAACTAAGGAGTAAACAGGGAAGTAAAATTGTCAAAATCTATGCTAATTAAGACCAGGTATCCAAACCTCCTTCCCGGTTGTGATTTTCTTTGTTTTAACTCAAGGTGAAATGTTAATTAAGGAGTTTGAGAAGTGTAATTGACAAACTTTTTTTCTTTTTCAATGGCAAAGAAGAAATTACTGAAAATTAATTGGGGCTTATGCTGGATTTCCATTGTCATGTTATTTGGTTTAGAGATGTATGTTTGACTGTCAATGTTACAGAGAGGACACTCAGCCTGTGAAGAGTACTTGACTTTTTTTGTACAATTTTTATACGTTACTTTAGTGACTACAGAATGAGGGATCTTTAATTTAGTGTTTTTACACCGTGAAGATGCTAAATGAGATTATCAATAATCAGAGTTTAATGGGAGACCTGCTGTTGGCCAGCAGATGATCATCACGGGCATGCGTAGTTGTGTCATTGCTGTGTAGTTTTGCCCTCATGGTCTTGCGCTGCGTGCATTTTTAGCTTTGCTGCTTTTGCCTTTGGTTAATGCCCCCTCCCACCCACCTCTTGATTCATGGTGAGCCCTGTGTCCAGGCAAGTACATTTATTCTCCACTGAGAATTCAGTGTCACAAGTGCCAGGGGGAGGTGACCCATGGGAGGTTACCATGGTTACCCCCTTTACTTGCATTTTGCCCACACTCGCCTGCTCGTTGCCTGCTTTGCTGTTTAATGGCACCTACACTCCATTTGAATATTTGAATCGACAAGTTGATTAACCTTGAACATGGCTAGTCTGTGGAGAGTAAAAGCTGTAATGAGATGATGCTAATTATTAGTAAACAGATACTTGTGTGCCACAAATTAAAGAAATCTGCTTGCTTGATCACTTCTGTAATTGTCTGTTCCTTGTTTAGGTGAACTCTCTCTCTTTTTGTTGTCAGGTGGTACAGAGCACCAGAACTACTCTATGGAGCAAGACAGTATGACGAAGGAGTTGATCTTTGGTAAAAAGAAAAAATTGTACATACAAACATACTATGTTTTAGTACAAATTTACTAACGTTCTATCACAAATGCTGCTCTCTGATTGACTAGCCTACTCACTATCTATTCTGTTTTAGTATAAATCTACATCTACTAGCATTCTATCACAAATGCCATTCTCTGATTGGCTATGCTACTCACCATCTATTCTGTTATAGATAGTGAGCAGTGTAGCAGTGTGCCCTTGTTAACAAAATCATGGCCGCTTCTTGGTGTTTTCGAAGTGTCTATGAAGAGGATTTAAATAAAGTTTAGAACGACTAAGAGATTTATACTAAAACAATTAGATTATTCGCTCTTGATTTCTATGCATGATAGTTGACTTGGGCTGCACCCTCGTCAACTATCAGGCGTTATATTTCACCACTTCATTTTGTCCTATTCTTATTGGTTTAAATTGATCATATGACTCAATAGTGTTCATCCCTGGAGGGACACTATCAGCCCATAGTGCCTGTCTGAGGAGAATACTTGGATGGATAGCACTCGTCCGTGAAAATATTTCTGTAAACAAGCGAGCTTATAGAAAATAAACAATTGAATTTGTATTAATAGGGTTTTTGTTGTTTTCTTTTTCAAATTTTACATTTGGCATTCAAGGYTTTCATCTAAAAAAGTTGAAAATAATTCAGTATGATTTTTGAACTGGCGCACGGAAGAAAATTTAGTGGTGAACAATAAAGACAATAGAGTGTTTATGTCTCGGAACTATCAATCTGATAGTTGCCCATGGAAATTTGATGTACTTAAAACTAGCATGTTTGTTTTAAGAACATCAAATTTCCGCGGGCAACTATCAGCCGATAGTTCCTCGACAGAAACACTCTATTGTTTAAATAGAAATCTCAAGCTCTTAATTTAATTGGTTATTAGATTGTGAGTAGCATAGCAGTGTGCACTTGTTAACAAAATGACGGCCAATTCTTTGCATTTTTGAGGTGTCTGTGTAGAGGATTTAGATGAAGTTTTGAACGACTAGTAGATTTATACTGAAACAATTACATGTATACTATTAGCTCTCAGTTTCTATGTGTGATACAACTTGACTTGAGCTGGGCCAGCCCTTGTTAACTATCACGCAATAGAAATCTTGAGCTCATAATGTAGTTGCTAAATAGAATGGCGTAAAGTGGGTATACTACTCTACTTTTCTTGTTTTTGAGGATTGTACAATAAGAACGAGGATGTAACTACAGTTATTGAAAAAGAAAAAAGGAACAAAGCAAGCAAACAAACAAAAACGAGTAACAAAAATAACAATAATAGCAAAACCATTGAGCGAAAAACTGGAGGATGTGCTCGTTATTATAATTGTTATGACTAAATGCATATGTAGCTGTGTAAGGGGGTAAGATGAATCAATCCTGAAATTTGATTGGCTAACCTGACTGGGGTTTTCATTAAGGGCCTGGCATTTTGCAAATTGACCAGATTTGAGGCCAATTTTGTCTGCCTGGTTTTACCATCTAGAGGAAAGTTTTTCTTATAAATAAGTTCTTTTCAAACATTTTGCCTGTCTGTGAAAACTTATTGCATGAATTCCTGCTCAAAATGTTAATGAAATCCCTGTCTGAGCCAGTAAGATGGGCCTATCTTGACCCAGGTTGTATGCCACAAGAAAATGGTGTCCTGTATGCCATATGTAAGTACTTTATACAAAAAGCACTCAGTAATTTGTCAAGATGGTTGGATTACTTTTTATACAGGAAAACTTCAAGTTTATAAATGTCTAATTGTTTTAGTTGCACACACACCAATGCAGCATAACAGTTTCTTAATGAACACAAACAGCTTGGTCAACCTTAAACTACGTGCTATTATTTTGTTTCATTAGGGCAGTTGGGTGTATTTTTGGAGAACTTCTTAACAACTCGCCTCTATTTCCAGTAAGTGCATGTAGGCGTGCTGGTTACACTATCGCATTTCGTACAGGGAAGAGAGTAATGTCATGTACAATGTCATTTTCACGCGTTTTGATTGGTGAACTCGGAGGTGATTAGCATTGAAAGTACTATTCACGTCCGAACATAGATTGAGAATTCCCGACCACTTGCCGACTGGTTTATTGTCAGAAATAAAGTAGTTATTTTTTGTCCGCTAATTATTCAGCTTGTGTGGTACTACTAAAACACTCACCACTACTCACCGCCAATTCGGTGAAAAATTGTGAAGTAGTGCTTACTAATTCCAATGTTTGTGACTTTATCAGTGATTGGAGAACACTGCGTTAAATCATTAATTACATTATTATACACTGGCAGTGTTCCAGAAAAGCAAGAGGCTTCAGGTCAAAAATTAAACCCGCAAGATCAATTACACGACCAAACAAATATTTATTAATAGAAAATTTATAATGATTTGGTGGGAGCAGTGGAAATTGACCCGTTGGAATTTCTTATTGACACCCAGCCTTGAAAGCTTATCTGGAACCCTGCATAGCTATAAAGTTTTGTTCGTGTCGATCGTTTTTCCGAGTTCAAACTACGAGAAAATGTGGACAATGTAGACCTCAGGAAACTACAAAAAAATTCTACAGAAGTAGCCGTGGAGTTTTAAAAGAATGTCTGACTTCAGGCGAAAACTATGGAGAAATGAAAACTTCAAGGGAGGTAAATTGTTAAAGCCAACCATTGAATTCTTCATTGTTATAACTTTCAGTCTAAATTGGTTTTACTCGCAACTTTAATGTACTGCAATGTAAATTACGTGTTTCATTTCTTTACAACAATGCATATAGTAGAATAATTATTGAATCCAGTATTTTTTTTTTTTTTGAGCGGTTTTCAGTTGAGTGTCGGAAGTAATCAGGCAATTACTTTCCTTTTGGTTTTACTACGGTTTGAGATTGGATGGTTATAGTCTAATTACCACACTCAATTAAAAACCGCTCTGTACAGAATGATCAAGTCCTCCGTTTTTATAACTCTTTCTATTTCAGGGTGAAAGTGATATTTCACAGCTTTTATGTGTGCTCAGAGTGCTAGGAACACCGAGCCAAGGGCAGGTATGTGCTGGGAAGTAACAGCTTTTTTTCAGACCTTTGTTTCTTCCCGAATGAGATTGTTCAATGCCTCGTAAGTTTTGCGATTAAAAAACGCTTCAAATGTTTGGAAGCAAGAGAACTATACTTATATTGAAGTCTAAGTAACATTGTGTAAAACTGAAGCCGGAATTTGCGGAGTAATTACATGTACATGTGTTTTTTGTAGGACGTATTATTTTGTTTTCTACGCTCACTGGCAACCAAACGTTTTAGAAGTTAGAATATATTTGAAATTCAGCTGAAAACGTCTACTGTTCTCATAGCATCAAGGGTAGAATCGAACCATGGAGATTTAAGCACTTTAATCGTTAAACCTAGTTCACACCAGCGACAAATTAAACAATCCTCCGTAGGAAAAAAAAAATGGCGACTGGTACATTTACCCATAGTTCTTAGCGCACGAAAAGCTAAACAACGTTCATAAAAACGTACAGAAATGTTACAAAATCTTCAAACCTAGGCTACTTAATGTCCTTAGTACAGAGACAAATATTGTAATTATAAGGCTTCCTTTGTGCCTGTTGGGTTGTGCTAGGTTCGCGAGGCATTGTGGTAAAATGTACAGCCGCCATCTTTTTTCCTACGGTGGATTACATAACGAGTTAAGAAGGACGTTATTTCGTTATGTTAGCAATGTGAACATCCTGACATAAAACTGATCTTTTCGTTACGTCTTTATGTCGATCTTGATATCACCGCCTTGGGCGATTATGTCGTTATGTCGTTAGTGTGAACCAGGCCTTAGTCTGCCCTTCACGTTCCTTAAAACACCGTGTGGCCTTGTGAAAATATCTACATGTATTGGAGATACGTGTATTGTGGAAGAAATTGTCTAGTAGGGCTATTCACTCTGAAAGTTGAAATTGCAATGTTTGTAAAATGGGGACTAACTAAAACTTCCTGTACTCCGTAACAGGGAATGACAGAACTGCCAGACTACAACAAAATTGTGTTCCCAGAGATGCCGCCCATCCCACTTGAGAACATTGTACCTGACGCCTCACCAGAGGTAGGTGTGACTAACAAATATCAGATAGTCTTTATCAGTGGTTTCTCCGGATGGAGGACAGGGCGTTCAGAGCATCCCACTTCCCGAACCCTACGATCCCGCTCCCTTGTAACTTTATCTCTCGACTATTGCTCTTTTCCGTCCTGCTCCCGTCCACTGTAAATTAGGAGACTCAAGACACATCCTAGTCAGTCATCTGCGCAATTCTTAGGAGCTTTCTTTGTTTGTTTAAATTGCTCGTCTGGTTCACCTCTTTTAACAACTTAGGCGACACTTGTGTACTTATGCCACTAGACAGTTCGTGACCTACTGTAAGACGTAACCACCATGAAAGGGTTTAAAGTTTCCCTGGAAGTAAGCCTGTTTTAGCCCAAGCGAGAATTTTGTTTGATCGTTGCCTCAGAGGTCTTAGACGACGCTAAATGCAAGTCAAATAACATTTTTTTTTTCTTGTTTTTGAAAGTGTATTTCTAACACATTAATAAATGAAAAAAATTAACGTTTTGCACTTCTCTCCCGCTTCCCGCCCTCTTTGAACTCCTGCTTCCCCCCGTTTCCCGTCCCGCCTCCCGTGCCCCCTATTCTCCCGGGTCCCCCCCTCCCCCCTCATCCCCCACACTTTTCCTCATTCAACAATAGCAATTTGACATTTTTTTGCGTGTGTTCTTTGAATCTGAAATAAACTTTTTCTTGTTTTGGCGGCTTATGCCTCCCCCGCCCCGCTCCACCACAGCGAAAAATAAGAACGCCTGTTCAAAAGATAAATCTTAAACTGCCCACCAACCAGATGCCTGACTTAAAATTGTCTGACCATGTAGATTAATATGTTAATCAAACTTTTTGGTGGATTGCTAGAGTTATGCGTGCATGTAATTTGTAGTTGTTGTTGTTTTTATTTTTTCGTTCTCAGGCGGTTGATTTGCTCAAACGGTTCTTGGTGTATCATTCCAAGGAGAGGATTTCTGCAGCAGAGGTTAGTATTTAACAAATAAAGAAGCCTAAGCCGTGTATTACACTGTGATAAAACACGACGGGCATTTGAGAACACGAGGGAAATGTAGAAAACACGAGCCGCAGGCGAGTATTTTCTACATTCTTGAATGTTCTCAAACGTCCGGAGCTTTTTCAGTTGTTTTATGATATAGAGGTAATGTGGCGAAAAACAATAAAACACGCTTTTTCTATGTGTTACTCAGAATTTACATTTCTCGTTAACCATCTATTTGGCAACGTATTATTGGATACAAGTAGAACTAGGCGATGTTCTTTTAATGGAGTAAATGGCTATTTATGAATTGATTGCAGGCTTTGCTTCATCCATATTTCTTCACGGAACCTCTTCCAGCTCACCATTCTGAACTACCAATCCCAGCACGCAATGCCCGCAAGACATCAGGACGAGGCCCGTTACGTCGCGCGTTTGACATTGATGTTCCCTTGGAGAAATCTCTTGTCAACCCAGCATTACTAGTGCATAATGTTGTTGGCATGCCTAACTTTCAGCCATAAGGTTAATACCGTGCAACCTTGCGGTCAAATATTTCAAATGTGTTTGGGAACTCCGTGTAAAATTACCTTTAAATTGAAGGAAACTTGAAAATAATAGTTTACTAAAATAGAAAAACACTAAAGAGATAATAATAAACCATAAAGGAATAGGGATTGTTAAGGACGGAGAAGATTAACACAAATTACAAGCGACGAACGTTAAAAATTTAGGTGGAACTTTTCAAGATGCGCAAACCATCACGTAGCTCTTTTAATACCGCACTGGATTTTACAAAAGTTGTATGTAATACATTTAGATCGCTCAGAGAGCAAGTAAACCGTCGGTTTACGTCAGATCCCCAAACGAGCAACGACAATCAGCGATGGGAGCTCAAACTCGCGCTCCCAGTTTCGCGCTAACTCCTATGCACTCTTTTTTGACTCTTTTCCTTACCCTCGAATCCAAAGCTGCTGTTGCCGTATGGACGTTTCTGAAACTTGGTAGTCGTTACGCAAATCAGTCGAAGACGCAGCAACCAATGAAAGACAGGCAAAGTACAAGCAATATGTCCTTTATTTAAAGTAGTTCATACCATACAGTCAATCTCTACCAAATATTGCAAAAACAGGTACAAAAGCTAGATCTGTGGCCAACTGGCAACGCATGCCATCGTTAAATGTAATCTGTGATTCAGTGTTTTTCGTCAGCTTTATGAAGGATTTTCTCTACCTACAAATGTATTAAAATGTGTATTGTATAGGTATGTACAAAGCGTCCAAATGTGTTGATTCGATTCAATAGCTGACGACGTCTCAATCATGGTGTCCCAAACAGGTGACCCTATCCAAACCGGCATCCCACGATATTCTATTTGATTGCATACAGTAAAATCAAACTAGCGTTCTAAGCCATTTAACGAAACCAACCTTTCTCAATTGTTTGTAATCCATGTTGTTCATGAAGAAAACAAATAGTTTTGTATTTTACACTTTACAAGTGGTATGTCTAAGTAAGCTTACAGTACAATCTGCTGACCAGTCCACTACACTACTAACTCTCGTCGAAAACTATCAAAGTCACAACCGGAGTACTAGACTTAACGGAATTGGTTACTTTAGATAGTTAAGTTTTCTTTGTATCTAAGGCTGCTATAGCTTTTACCAAAAAATCAGGAAATTCCGGTCAGAATGTAATTGGAAAGACTATTTACTTTGTCCGACCCGAAAACTGCGGAAATAAATGGAACTTCTTTAAAGGAAGTCCGATCATTTTAAAGACATTCATTGGAAAGCGAGTTGGATACATGCAATCACAAAGAAAGTAAGAGGCTTTCTTTTTTTGTTTAGTTGTTTGTTTGTCTTTTTTATCAGACGAAATATGTTTATTAGAAACTCTTTTAGAAGTTGTAAGTTTTGTCTGTCTGTATCTGTCCGTCTGTCTGTCTGTCTTTCTGTCTGTCTGTCTGTCTGTCTGTGGCTCGTTCAAACATCGATACATCGTTCCATCCAAGAGAAGCTCTTGTAGAATCTATGTTACTGTCATTGATTAGACAATACAAATTGTAAATCAAGAGTTAACGTATTCAAGTCACTTTTAAGATTTACTCAAAAAGTCGAGTTTCACAGCTGCAACATTTCCGCTGGTCTTGTCAATGGCACTCGCTTTTATTTCCGTCCCCCCAAAGAAGATGGATAATTCGACTTCGCGATTCCTTCCTTTGGAGGTGTCGGGTGAATCGACCGTCATCTTTCCTATAGAAGGTCCAACGGAAGGGTCTTTGGTGTACTTGACGTCTGGGTCTGTAGAGGTGTAAAATATAAATCCTACACTCTTCTGATCGCTGTATACTGGAAACCGAATGACGCGCTTTGTCTCCCCGACTTCAACAGCTTCATTTTCTTTTACAATGACATCAAAGATGTCTTTGCAATGTTCAATACCTTCTGCAATGACCTTCTTTTGAGGGTCGTGGACCTTGGGATCAAACTTGTACCAACTGTCGAAACCGTATGTTGTGGCCATGACTCTTGAACGTATTGTAGTTGGCTTCTGACCAAACATGGTTGCACCTTGGACAACTGCAATGGCTGGGTCAGTTACAGGGATGAGAATTCTACATCTTGAGCTGAATGCTGTTGCGATGGCCTCTCGAAGAATGACCGATTTAGCAAAACCACCAACCATGAATAAACAGCTTACACTGTTAAGCTCGGGGTGGTTGAGCACTTTTTCCATATGGGCAACAATTCCACTGACCACGGGCTGAAACAGTTGCTTCATGGCCTTCGGCCCCAAGCAGACGTAATCATTAGAGATCTCTACATCATGAGGGCGTCCGGCTGTTGCAGAGGTACCTGCAACTATTTCAAGAAATTTGGGTGGAACTCGGATTCGTGTAACTTTGCCTTCAGAGGCTCGTTGTCCTGTTTTCTTCTCCTCAAAGTTGTTCATCAGTTCAAGCCAATCTTTTGGATACCTGAGGCGGAAATCTTTTATGGCTGGCTGCCCGTACAGGTTTTCAAGCAAACTGACAAAGTTGCGATCCACGTAGATTGCACCGTTAGCACCCCCGGTCACTTTGTAAATTTCTCTGATCTTGCCATCGGCAAGGCTCTCATGGGCTGTGACATCAAGTGTTCCACCTTTGAAATGCATATTTGTGATGTGTTAGGGTTTAAAAGTTTGCATATACGAAGTATTGTTCAAGTTGTAAAGTGTCATAAAGTACAAAGCCAAAACAAAACAAAACAAAGCAAAAACAACAAAAACAAAAACTAGCTTGTTTCTACCAAAAATATCAAAAAGAACATCCTACAGACCGGGTGAACATTGACAAATTCCAGTTAAAGCGCCGAATACACGTCCAAGCGCAGAGGTCGATCAAAATCACCCAATAAAAGGCTTGCAATGACCAAAGGACGTTCGCTCGATAATCTTTGACATAAGTAATCTTGAACTTATAATCTAATTGTCAAATAGAAACACAAGGGGAAGTTTAGGAGAGTGGAAAAAGCTGTGAAAACGCTTCTAGCTCGTGTTCCCACAGCTTTTTTGACTTCTCTCAAGTTCATGAGTGTTCGTAGTGTAACGTAATGGAAACAGGGAAAAAATGACACAAGTCAAAATGCGGTTGCTATGACAATGGCAGTTGTCAAACAACACAGCATTTTCGCGATAGCTGAGCAAACAGCTATTGAACGTTTCATGAAAACAGAGTTTATCTTTTTACAATTCTGCTAAAAGCCTGTAAAGGGGGGTGGGGGGGTAAAGCAGCTTTTAGCAGTTTCTGCTTGGGCCGTAAAGTAACAGAGTAATGCCTTTACCTATATGTTTTGAAGGAATTTGTTGTCTAAATGTATGGTCCTTTTTTTGAGACTAATAGTTTGCGTACAATTAAATGTAGTGATAAAAAGCAACAGACTATTTTAGTACCTCCAATGTCCATCATCACGTAACCTTTTCCAGGGGAGACCAGGGCATCTGACACTTTAGCACTTCCTGTTTGGCCAAGAAAGTCTTGCACTTTTCTCTCCTTGCAGAAGATTGCACCTGCCTCAGGTTCCAATGCAATTATTAACTGTTCCTCTTTATCGGGAGAAGCAATTCCAGCCTTGGAATTATACATTGGAAAAGAAAAAACCAAACGTAAAACTGTTAAGATTCGCGATTCTCTTGACACTATTCAGCTCGAAAGTGAGATGAAATTTAGACGAGGTCTACGTTTACCTCAAATTTACACAATTTAGTGGAGTCTTGAAGCAATAACCAAACTATCTTCTAGTTTACTTTCTAGTATAAACGTTGTCGTGTGTCAATTATATTACGTTCATCTGACTTAACGGTTCCGAGAAAACCATTTGTAACCGTTTGAAACAGGCAATCGAATTTGTAACGAAAGAAGAAACCCACATTCTCAGCTTACTTCCTGTAATAATATTTATCAGATGCTTCCCCACCCTTTTCCAGCACCGCTCTAAATAGGTTGATACAAGTATTCTCTTAAAAGTGATGGGGCAAAATAAAAACAAACAAACAAGCAATGTGATTTAATCACCTGGTATGCAGCCTCTCTCATGAATTGCTTAGCTGCTGCTGTCCATATCGCTGGCACCGTTAGCACCCATTGGAAATCTTCGGCGCTGTAAAATTTATCCCCAGTCGCATCACGAATGGTCTCAACCGCTTCATCTTTCAAGTATTTCATTGAAAGTGAGAACACCGTTATGGCGTCAACGTTTTTTCCATTGGCGGCTGTCAGTTGGGTGTTTCGATCCAAGTCCTAGTTGGGTGAAAAAAAAAACATAAAATAAAATAAATAAATAAATAAATAAATAAATAAATAAATAAATAAATAAATAAATAAATAAAATAATGTTCCAGTATATGAATGAACTTTGTGGTGAAGACAGCGATGGACATCTTGCATTCAAAATTCTATCTTGCATTAGTATAAATCTACTAGCGCTAGGTAATATGTCGGATGCTGTTCTCTGACTGGCTACGCTACTTACTATCTATTCTGCGATAGACAGTGAGTAGCGTGACAGTGTGCGCTTGTAAACAAAATAACGGCCACTTCTTTGCTTTTTCGAGGTGTCTGTGAAGAGGATTTAGATTAAAGTTTTGAACGACTACTAGATTTATTCTAAAACAATTAGATTCGTTGTTCTCGATTTCTATGCGTGATAGTTGGTGCTATAATAATGGTATCACAAAACTTCCCAGTCATTAGTGGCCTCGTTGTTACCATTTTCGTGACACTGTATGGTACCATAGCAACAGTTTGACATAGTGTTACGTTGAGCTACCCAGCATTTTTGGAACTGAACTATTACTGCAACATTTCTGCTTTAAAATCTATATGAAGCTAACATCAGTACACTGTAGAGATCTGTGCATAGCTACGGCACCGGAAAACTATGCAGGTCAAGAAAATTTTAACCATTGCGCCTGACATGCCGAATGTCAAGGCAATAAGAGGAGTACCTGTCTTTTGTGCAGCTCCATTTTGAAGTGTTTCAGGTAATAGTACTGCTTATCCTCCCCCTGCTTGAAGTTAACGTATTTGTCATCCGCATCGTATCCAAATGAATCGAAATCCTTATTGGGGCGAAGAAGAATTGATGTTGGGGTTTTCGGAGTGCCACGCCTTTCCTCGTTTTCTCCCCAATTCATTTTGGTGTGAATCCCTCCTTGACCACTCTGGTCACTGAACGAGAAAGCAAAGCCGCTGTAGGTTGTTCCAAAGTCGATTGCGACCACTCCCATGTACTTTGAGGATGAAGCCATCTATAATGTTGTTGACGGGGAAAAAGTTGGATATCACTTTTACTTGTCACTGATAAATAGATTCAAATCACGCCAACAAGTACCCTATTTTGATATCTAGGTGGGGCACATTTTTCAAGTAGAAAGGATTGGAAAACGAAATTTTAACGCAATAGCAAAGCAATCTTCAAATAAACCTAACATTCCAGCATTGGGTCGACCAGCCCGTAGGAACTTAGTTTCCATTCTAACATGTAAAATGCTCTTGGCTTTTAGTTTCTATTTTATTTTGTTTTTTGTACCCAAAAAAAAAACCGAAACTAAAGAAAAACAAATAACAGCAACAACAGCAAAAACAACATCAGAAAACAACAAAACAAACCGATTGAAAGCAAATTAAAACAAAGCAAATCAAAATACCGACAAAAAAGAGTACCTTTATTCTTCTTATTTCATGATTTTTCTCCTCCATGGCCTCGTCCATTTGCTCCATCTTATCCTTCATCTCTCTATTTTGCTCGGCAATGGCATCCATGTCTTCCTTGTAAAGATCCACCTCCGCCTTGATACGGTTCTCTATCTGTTTTTCTTGTTCTTTAATGTCCTTCTTATACTGTTCTTTCAGACGTTCCATGTCGTCCTCCTGTTTTTGCACCAAAAGTTCCATCTAGAATAGGAAAACGGGATTGTTACTCGTTTACCTCTACTGCACCAACCATTTAAAGTTTATTGGATACTTGTAGAAACGGGCACACTCTTTTTTTATATCAAAATATCGATTTTCAAGGTGAGGCTGAATATTTTCATTCTTCCGCCAATTTTAGGCTTAAATTATCCTTTTGAATATTCTTAGATTAAAGCGCATGACATTTCTTCTACAACTTCAAACCTTGCACGAAATTTCACACCGGAAAACAATTTTGGACAACTTAACTGGTGAAATAAATGCAACTAACATAAAGTAGTTTGAAATAAATCTGTTCTTTAATACATCTTTCTTTTTCTAGTATCTGAGTCACTCGCTGAGTTACTCGCTGAGTTACGTCGGGCTTGAAAATGCTGCCCTCGGCCTGCGGCCACGGACAGCATTTTCAAGACCTTAGTCACAGTTTTTCACTATACGGACCGACCCTAAGCCGGCCAAAAACATATATATATGTATATATATGACGCACATAACTTCTCGTAGAGATACTGTAGAAATGTTCTTAGTATCGAACATACGGCTAGTGCTGTTTTTTTTTTTTTTTTCTTTCGCTAGTTTTACCGTTCAGAAAAAGAAAGAATTTTATACGCTTTAATTAAAAACATATAATATTCTTATAAAACATATCCTTGTAAAAATGAGTGTACCTGGCGACTGTCTCTTTGTTCCAGTTTGAAAAGGTAAAAGTTTAAATTTACGATTTAAAACAATGTTTAAGTTTCCATTCCATCCTTTCTGTCCAAAAACCTATATTTAAGAAATGAAAGCTATGTTTCGGTTTCCGATATTTGATTCTGTGTATTAACTGATGTGAGAACAAATTATAGTAAATTCAATCTACGATATGAAGGAGCTGCAGTATAGAATACCATAGGAGAAGTAGAAGAAGTAGCCAGAAGTAGAAGTGGACTTTGTTGGAGAGGGTAACATTTGACAGGAGAACTTCAAAGTTTTCAAAAACAACTTTAAACAAAGATGTTTTCTTTCGTTTCTGCTTTGTATGCCTTGGTGTGTTGTCTTCATATCTAAATACTGTATATATCGAACTTTTTTCAATTCCTTTAATTCAGTGGCAGATCAGCTACTCATTAACATTAGCTTCTGCAATTATTCTGGATGCAATTTTACCATCTATGGTCTGTATTCCTGTATTACAACATTTTTGTTAATTTTGGAATCTGATGGTAAATAAACGCTTGTGTTGTTGTTGTTGTTGTTCCGGCCTCAACAGTCCTCATGAGCCCGATGAGGATGAGTGTGTTGTTGTTGTTGTTGTTGTTGTTGTTGTTGTTGTTGTTGTTTATAGAGCGTTTTCACAAAACGCCGCGGCAGCCCTATTTGGGAGTTTACGAAACCACGACGGCAACGGCAACGGGAACGTTAAAACGAAAATGAAAATCACAACCGTTACCCTGTCTTAGTTAGTATAGATTTTGACGTTTTTACTTCTCTGTTTATCCCTTAGTTTTCTTTCGATTGAGAAGATATATCAAACACTCTAGAAAGTGTTTCGTCGGCTATCCAAACACCTCTAATTTCGTCAAAAATACCTCGCAGCGTGTCGTATTTTAAACCAAACAGATTTTCCACGCACAAATTCAGGCAAATCGCCAAGTGAAGTAAAACCTATTAATTACAATACCAACTTTAGCTTACAGTGCTAACATAAAGCCCCGGCTAAACGATCGCAACATTTCAGTACAACATATCCCAACATTGTTGGCCCAGCATTTGCAAGCTCCAAACAATCGCGACATATCGCAACATTGTTGAGCGCAACATGTTGCAGGCGTTTGGCCACCCTGTTGCGACATGTTGGCTATTGAAAATCGAACTAGTGCGCATGCACTGGCGCAACATTGTTGCACGAACCTGGGCAAACGAATACAACATCATGCAACATCCATAAATGTTGCATGAAAAATTTGTCCATTTTCAAATCTGAGCTAACAACATCCAACATGTTGCAACATGTCGCAACACGTCGCAACAGGGTGGCCAAACGCGCGCAACATGCTGCGCCCAATAATGTTGCAATACGTTGCGTTGACATGTTGGTATCGTTTGGCCGGGGCTTAACACAAAACAGGCAAATTACTAACAATGCTACTTATAGTATTAACCTTACAATTTGACATTTAATACCACGCATTATTTAGCATAACGCAACCTGACTTAATGTTTTTAAACTACTTACAATTTTAACATAGCTTGCAATAGTAACATTGATTACTAATTAACAATACTCACGATATTGCAAGTAAAAACTACTTACATTTTTCTTTTGGCCAGCTGACATTGCGGAAATCAAAACTTTAAATCACTAAAACTGTCGAGGCACTCCATCCCTTAAAGTTTATCTTTCTCTAATAGTCTCCATTAAAGAAAAAAAAGACAACAAAGCGGCAAAACAAACCTCTTTCTGTTTTGTATAGGTTTCCTCTAGCAAACGGGCATTTTCCGCCTGTAAGAACGAGAAATGTATTGTCAGCACTGAGAAAATGGTCAAAAGAAATAAACACGCATATATTTTGAGTGATGCGACCCATGTTCTTTTCAGCGGACCGAAACGAAATTAAGTTTCTCGTTCGGAAAACCTTGCAAACTTAGGGTGGGCCGGAACATTTGAAAATGTGGTGGTTGGAAAACACATGACCCATCCCTTCCATTTGACACAAAATTGAGTGACCTTCCCCTGAAAGAAGGTTGAATATTACATGTCCCACCCCCTATAAAACAATACATTTTTGGTTGCATAATCCAACAAAATCACATTCTGTGTATGAAATTGTGGCATTATTTAATTTTTAGATTTAATTCTTAACAAGAATATAAAACATCTTAAAGTAATATTGTTTTCCTTTACTCTTGCAACTTTAAGTCATGTTCATAAACTCTAAAAAAGAAACGACCTTAATTCTTTTACGCTTGGGCTCCAGCCTCGCTATCCTTTGAACAGTGATCCATCTAGAAAAAGGCTGCAGCGAGTCCTGGGACTCACACAGCCAAATTCCCGATATCCATTTTTTTTTTTTACATTTTCGTACAGAATACGTCTTTACTAGTTATCTTGCGAAACTTCAATCTATTACGAACATTAGAACTCGCGCTTTTGGATCTTTATTTCCGAGAATTTACAGCCGCCATTAGTTTTCCTTGTTCAAAGTCTTGGTTGAGAATTGGAGAAAATGACGTCATTTTCTCAAAAATACCACACGGGTTGAAATCATAATAACAATTAGTACAGCAATTCGCTTAAAGGATAACAAATATAATTAATCTTTGGCTCTTATATTTGTGCAATTTTCTACACCAATTGTTATTATAATTTCAACCCGGCGCGTTATTAATGTTATAACATTGATGATGTTCTGAACAGACAAAAGAACAGATCGTCTGAACCCACTGTTTTAAAGAGAGAGGCCATCTTAGTCTTGCCTTTTTTAGGTTTACAAAGCGAAGCTCCTACGCGACGTGTTTAATCTTGTATCAGTAAGTTTTATAAATTTGTCAATCTTAGGGTCTTTCTTTCCATACAGAGATCGGTTCAGTCGCTCCCAAAGATCTGAAGCTAGTGCTGTTGTTGGGATGGTGATTCCTTAATTTTATGTCGGCAAAACCAAACGATGTTTGCATGACAGGAACACCGAGCATTTCAAAGCTCTTACACAAGATGGTCACGCCTCCGCTGTTGCAGACCATGTCATCTGTATCGGTCACAACATCAAATGGGACCATTTTGAAATCCTCGTAACTGGAAAGTCCGACTTGCATTGTAAAATTAAAGAAACGATATTGATCAGTGACTTAAACCCCTCATTTAAAGAAAACGTTGGCAGCGAGAAGCTGCTCTTTAGTAATTTTTACCGGAAGTATCAATTCTATTATTAATTTTTTTAGCTTGCCACCAGTGCCTCGCTTTAGTTTTGAATTTATAACTTTTTGTTATAGTAATAACCGACACTTGTGAAGATGTATATTGCAACAAACGAAACGTCAAGTTAAAACAGTTAAGTTTTTTGTACCATGCGTTGTTTGTTTGTAATGTTTGTAACCGCTGTTTGTAACCGCTGTTTGTAACCGCTGTTTGTAACCGCTGTTTGTTTTCTTTTCTTTCTGAAACTGAAATGGCCAAAGAACAAAAGACCTATGAGGGGATTCATGCTGACGTCATTGTTTACATTTTTGCTCGTTTCCATACGGCTTTGCGTACAGAAGGAAACATGTTAAATATGAATTGACTCCAAGCAGCTAAAGAGCTAGTATAATTTAGTACATGGTGAAATTTTTAGCTCTTGGGTGTAATATTCAATGAGTTTTTGTTTTTCAAATACGGCAAAATTTCTGGGTGGCAACAGCGCTAATGAGCTCATACATTCTTTGTAACATTTTGAGTTTTTAAACGCGTGTTGCACAAAAACGTTCAATACATGTTGGCAGAGTCAATCGTACTGTGACCTTTCAATATTCAGAACTGATTTATTTGTAGTTCCATCAGAAACTGAATTGCGTATGCTAATAAGGCAAATATTGTAAACAAAAATTCCCCTATTGTGTACGAAAATGTACAAAAAATGTATCTCGATCGAGATTTTTTGATCATGGGGGCTCTTGAAGAACTCGCCATTCTGGCTTTGGCTTGAGGCCGTGAAAGGCGAAAGTGCAGACGTCCCAAAACTGTAATAGGAACAAGAATGTCCATTCACAACGGTTCAGGGAAAGAATGTGACTAGCTTTTCTAAACGTTCTCAGGAGCTGAGTCGTAATTCCTTCTCATGCATGTATGTACGAAGACGAAGACGACGACGACGACGATGATGATGATGATGATCCAGAGCGAGGAGAGTCATTATCTTAATTTCATAAGATAATTTCAAAGCACTGCCAAATTCTTAAGCAAAGTATAATGCATGAATTTTTACCAGTATCCGTTGCATTTCCTTCTCTCGGAGAGCTCTGTCTTTCCTTTCCTGGAACAACTTTTCGTTGTAATCCTTAAGTTGCTTCAAGTGCGCCTTGTGTTTCTCCATTTCTGACTGCAGCTCCTGCAGTGCATAAAATGTGACTATTTATTCAAAGTACAATTTCACGTTTCTGTCGTAGCAATAGTTTGATGGGATTTTTTTTCGTGTTTTTCAATTGAATCTCCTCTAGATAAGAGCTAATCTAAACTCCATGTTTTGCACGGTTTGTGTCCAAACTCAAACACAGTTCAGTGAAAAATTAATCTTCATGAAATGTTTAATTAAATTAAGCTTAGATCAATCCGTCGTGTAGAGTTTTCAATTTTTACGTCCATACTCACGTACCGGCTGGAACTTGTAAAACTCTTGGGCACAAACATCTCTGGCTCCCCTTGCTAGCTTCTTAAAATCACGCTCAATGGCCAAGAAGCTACCTTCTATTTGATCAAAACTGACTGCAGCTCCGTTTGGTCCAGTCAGCCGCTGGAGAATGGGATCCAAATGCTTTTTTCTGAGGTCCTGCAGCAGTTCCTGACAGCCTTCCTTAGTACGTCGTTGGTTCTTCTCATGCCATCGTTTCAAATCGTTTTCCATGTGTTCCTGAAGATAGGAAGAACGTTTTACTCGTTTTGTAGCTTTGGTGACCAGCACTTGGTTCTTCACCACTGAGAAATTTTACAAAGAGCGTCTACGATCAGCTATATGCGGCCATTCTCTGTGCATTCATGATGCAAGATGTTTGTTTTTAATTCGTAACCACCATCAAATTTCCCTCGTGCTTTCTGTTCAAGTTTAATTTGAAAGAGGAACTCTCGAAATCTCTTCCATTAGACTCGGAACAATAGTTAACTATCTCAAAAGCGAATTGTTTTTAATAAACTCACAGTGCTAAAAAAAATAAATCCGTCGTATGGATCTGATGTTTAATTAAGCCTACTCCGGGAACAGAAATTTGGTCCAATTGATATTCTGTGTAATTTAAACCGCTCTATAGCAGTAGCATTAAAAATGCATTTCTAACCGTCTTAGAAGGCTAAAATACAACATTTTCCCCACGGGGCGGAGGTGGACGGGGAGCAGAATTTACAATGAAAAACCTAAAAATACATTCAAATGCCACCAGCATTACAATCGATTCCGAACACATAGTCAAAATATTCCGTCTATGATTTATTTTTATAATATTCATCTTAGTTGTTTACCATGAGTTCTTCCAAGTAGTTTTTACAACTTGCAGCAGAGATTTGGACAGTGCCTGTTTCAAATTCCCTCATGCTTTCCTCCATTGCCATCTCATGAACACGGCGAATCTCCTCACTGTCACATGGTAAGGCACCATCCAGCTGGGACGTCATTGTACCTTCATACAACTTTATGGCAGCTGCTTTTACCTTAGAACACTTTGTCTGAATATACGTCTCCCATGTACTTTGGACATTAGGGACAGCACCGGGAGTGTTCAGGGCCGCGACGTAGTCGCTGACTAGAGCGGCAAGGGCTTAAAAATGCAAGAACAAAAAGAAACAGATAAGTGCTGTTATGTCAATTACAGTCTTGTTTGTCTCTGCCTGCGTGCCTTTCCAGCTATGACTGATACTTGGGTTCAACATCAAAATAGGAAATTTTAGTCGTAACGAAACTATTGTAGATTTATGAAGGTTTTAAGAGAAGAATTAAGGCAAAACCACCTAACAGAGGGAAAGAAGTCTTTACCTTCTCCAGTGACGAATTCCCCATCATTGAAACTGCGTTTGGGACACAAAATTGTATCTAACTTGACCTTCAACTGCTCTAAACCTCTCAAAAACGGAGGACTGAGCTGGCTTTTTTTCTGGTTTATGTTCTCCAAAAGTTCTTTATTAACTGTAGGAGGAGGTAAATCGAACGCGGCAAAAACAGGGAAAAAGTCCAGAATGCTGGCGACTACAGTTGTCTCTTGGTCTGTGGATGATGAAACTTTTTCTTGAAAAACCTGAAACAAAATAACATTTGAGGTCACTCAAGCAATGTGAAACCACTATCACACAAAATGAAGCAGCTTAAAACTATAGCTACCCTCTGTGGCATTTACGTAGCTCGTTTTTTTTTTTTAATGGAATTTTAAGAGTTGGCCTACCTTCTAGCGGAATTTTACTTCTACATGATAGGGTGAACTTTTTACTTCATATGCGACCCATACAAGGACCACATGATACGTACCGCTGATTGAACTCGGTCGATCACAAGAGAATGAATGATAATTCTAGAATATTCATTGCTGGTATCAAAACTAAAACTATCAGCTACTGCTGGGTTTTAGATTACAAGTTACTTTACGCAACCCAAGTAACCATATTGAATGAAATCAATGTAGTCTGTGGGGAAACTCGTGAGTGGAACAGATGAACTAAAAGATTTATGCAATAGTAATTTTGTTTATTAGTTTCATACTTTGAGTTTGAGTTTGAGTAGTGGTTGTTTACCAAACACCAGAATCAGTTGAATAAGACTGGGCATACGTGATAATTGAACTGATTATGTCATTGCATTAGACGTAACGATACTGGAACCAGATTCTGTTGAATCATTTCACCCCCTTTATTGTATACCTAACGGTCTTTAAATTTGGAGCACTTGTTCGATTTCAAACACGTTAGGTCAGTTCCTCGTTTTGGCATCCACTTTGTTGGAAAAAGTGAATAATAAGACTTTTTCTATTAGACTAAGTTCTTTATTATGCACTTTAAAGCACTTTAAACCACTCCATCTAGTATCGGCCCCCCTCTGGGTCTAACAGAACCACCAGGTAAAGATGCATTTCAAATTATTACCTTTCTTAAAAAGTAGTCCCTGATATCCTCATATTCCTTTGGAATGGAAAGCGTCACATCTCTCAGGAGCCAAAAGAAGCAAGGAAATGTTTTACGAAAATACGCAGAGTCCTTATAAGTGCTTGAGGATTCGGGGTGTGATCGTATCTGAATTTGCTGCGAGAGGTTAACAATGAATCTATACATAGTTAGGGAAAATATTTAAAGATACTGTGCTGGTGTTTTATAAATTATAAGGTTCTTTTAAAGGAGCCATGTCACAGTCTCGCATCTTCAAAAGTTTAGCCCAAATTTTTCCTCGTTTGTAATTCGTGTTATTCTTCTCCATGCTCAACCATCCTTGCTTCTTTGTGGTTTGTTATTTTATTATCTCTTTGGTGTTTTTCTATCTTAGTAAATTACTATTTCCAGGTTCCCTTCAGTTTATTAAAGGTAGTTTTGCACATGGCCAAAATAAATCAAAATTCCGTGACTCACCTCCTTTAAGATCTCATTGTAACTAACTGAAATGCAATTGTCATTCATGTTTTGTATAGCTCCTACTCAAAAAAATTGTCAGAAAATGGATGGAAAGATTTTTCACCGCCATACATTCAAAGGTAGTCAACTTGGAAATGTACTAAACATCCCCCAAAATTAGTTCAGCGGAGTAGTGGTGCACCTTTTCACGCCAACATGCATTATTTTGGAATGTTTTCTCCCAGATGCTGTTGTCAGAATCATAAACTGTTTGCCGGAGAAATTTCACAGCTGTCCGAAACTGGGAGTGAGGGAGGGGCTGCCCCCTTCCCCACCCCTCCCCCCCCCCCAGCCCATATACCTATGATCATCACAATGTGAGTGGCTGCTTATTTAAATGTAATTGTAATGCGCAAGGAAGATAATGGAAACATTTGTCCATATAGTAAGAACAGCACCCTTTGTGTAATTTGTTTCTGATTGTTCTTGTACTTCTGTGTTTGTTAACTAACTACGGTATTTTCCTCAATAAAAATCTTTCTGTAAGGACAGCTGTAAAGGATACTTCAACTGTTCTACGTCATGTCTGTTTGGAACGCTTGTTGAATTGTATATTAATAAAGACGCCAGCAAAACAGTTAAGGTAAAGATCTGACGATCACCATAGTCTTCACTGGAAGGATCACCGACTCCTTCAGAGTCCAAGAGAACAACTGTAAATTTCTGGCCATTGGAATCCTATATAAGAAATGTTAAATAAGTGCAGGGAAACAAATAAGAAAATAGTGTTAGCTACAAAGGAATATGTTAATGTGGACTGTCATACCCGGGTCTCGGGCACAATCCACAACCAGACTCCCATGGTTTCTGGATCCAATTCATGTCCAAGACGGAAAACGTTTGGTTGGTAAAAAGCTTCACTCAATACGAAAGACTTCCCCTTCCTTGCTGGGCCAGATACGCACACGACGCATACAGGACCTGCAAAACAACTCTTGTGTTTGTCTTGATTCATTTTCAGGCATTATTTTTGTGCACAAAAATTATTTTTACAATAATCGTATCTATACCAAAATTCTCAATTGTGATTCCCCCGCGTACCCATTTGTCACGTAATCGGCCCGCGATCACGTGGGTCTCCAGTTACCGGTATCCAATTTCAACTTTTTGTGATTGGATACCTGTAATTGGATAGCCACGTGATTCTCCCGTCAATTACGCGCGTTATAATGGCTTTCTTCGTAATAACTGCTACAGTCTTTAAACCTTATGGAAAACGTATCTGACTCTTCCGCTCAAAAGAAGTTCTACAAAGACTTTTTTAATTTCGAAACTTGCTATAAATACGATTAATTAGTAATTTGACCTCGTGTCGTACAATCGAGGGAGTGTTCATGCTCGTAATTTCAAATGGGCCTCTGGCTTCGCGCTCGTCCAATTTTGAAATTACTCGCGGGATTACCTGAACTGTTATCCATGCGGTCCAATTACTTTCACTTATTTTATTCTACATATGTAAGTTCAAAGCATCGTTTTCAGAACAGAAAGACGTTGGATAATACATATTCTAGTAGACATTGCTATACATTGCCAGTTCTCATTTACTCTCACGCTTGGATACCGATGAGGTATCTGTTTAATTTTAATTAGTCAACAAGCGTTCAGCAGGTGGGCGAAACTGTATGCAGAGTTGACGTAAAATGTTTGCTAACTGACGAGAAAGGCATTGAAGTTGGGCCACTAATAATGCAAATCTCACCAAGCTTAGACGTGGTCTATGAAGCCCTCGTCTAAACCGCGATTTAGCTATAAACCAGGTCTTACTTGTAGGCTTTGTTTTAATAATCAGCACTAAAAGACCACTTCACAGTTGTCAATTTAGTGACCTGGCCATTGAATGGCGCTGAGGCTGCAGGTGACCTTGTTTGAATAAAGACCTTACTGCTTTTGCTGTGTAAATCAAGTTGTTCTTGTGCTAACTAGTTGGCATTTAAGTGCCGAGAAAATAAGAGATGTGTGTATCAAAGCAAGGTTACCTCCTACCTCGCTTGCATTCACAGGCCAGGCAAGTAAGTATTCAACTGTAAAATGGCTTATTAGAGTCCAGTATCTCATAAGAATAAAATAAGCTCATTAATTGAATCATGCATGGCAGAGTTAGTTCCAACTTTTTAAAACATCATCTAAGCCATCGTCTAAACTGGCCTGAGCCACTTCCATCTTCAAAATTCAAAATGTGCCCGGGAATCGCTGGTGCTTGAATTTAGCTTGTTGTCAGACTTCCCTGATAAGAGAAATGCGGACTCTTACCTTTAATGGTATTAAGCTGGTCGAGTGCTTCCTCAATAACATAAAGCGAAGAACGCTCTTCTCCGATTTTAATGCACTCGCCCGTATGCTTGTTCCACTTATAGTTGTTAGGTAGACAGAGTGGAATGGCTAATCCTGTTATACAAAAAGTCAGGAATTAATATTTTGGTTTGCATTTCTAAACAACTGACATTTTATTTACTACGTGAACAAAATTCTGAAAACATGTGTTAATTTTCTCTATTCTATTATATGTACTTATTATACCATGTACATATCTCTTAAGAGTTCTGCATTCTCTTAAATATCTATAGAAACCTTACAATACCTGGAGGCTGGCAGAAAAAATCCGGGTTACTTCAGGCCCCACACTCAAATTGTACATTTTTTTTTTTTTTTCTAGCTGTCTATTTATATGTATACTTTTAAAACCGTAAATGTACAAGTGAATAAAGTTGTTGTTTTTTGTTGTTAAGATAATGCTGTGACATCGAACTTGTTAAATGCAAAACCTTCGGACATAAATTTCCCTTTATACGTGATCAGTGGCAAAAAAAAAAAGATAGAGAATCGTGAATTCAACTTTATGACACAACCAAGTTTAAATAAAATATATCTGGCGTCAAAACAAGGGGTTTCCTGATCTTTGTGCCAAACTATTCTAAGAAAGTAATTATAACCTACCTGCCCGAGAGGCATCTTGTTGTTTTAAATCCTCTCCAGTAACCTTAGGATCGTCTGCCTATAAGACATCAACAAGCACTGATTAAGGGGTTATCGGCGAAACGTCTATTTGTTTTCAAAGTGTTTTTAACATGAGCTCAGTCACGGCATTTTGAGTTATTTTGGCAACGTTCAAAATTACCTTTAATTTGAAGGAAACGTACCTGAAAGTAATAGTTTACTAAGATAGAAAAACACCAAAGAGTCAATAACAAAACATAAGTGACCGAGGATGGTTAAGGATGGAGAAGTTTGACACGGATTACAGACGATAAACTTGAAAAATCTAGGATAAACTTTTGGAGATGAGCAAGCCGTGACGTAGCCCCTTTAAGCATTCTGAACATGTCGAAACTTTCATTTCACCGTTTTTTTTTGTTTTTTTTTTTCTTTCAGTCAATTTGAATGCTACGTAGGACAATGGTATTACTACCCCGGCTGACTAACTAACCCGTGACTGATCAAAATGGCAGATTTTCGATACGATTCTTTGTTGTTCATGATTTGCTCGACTATATCAAGTCTATATCGTGTACGTTAGCAGACTTCTGGGGGGGTCTGGGCTTTCGAGGCCTCAACCACCCTTAAACTTTTCTAACTTTCAAAGAATGAATGTAATAAACTCCAAATTTTGTGACTTACTCAAAAATTGTTAAGGAACAATTTATTATGGTATTTCCAGTTATTTTTACTTAACGTAACGTATCCACCGACATAAAGTACTATTTCACCCAGAGAGAGAGAGAGGAAATAGACCAAAACGGAATTACTGGTTTTAGTTTTGCTTTTAGGTTTTTTTTTGTTTTGGTGCTGGTGTTGGTGTTAGAGTTGGTGTTGGCTTTGATAGTAATGTTGGCGTTAGCTATGGCTTCGCTTTTAAGGTGGTTTGCTATGGAGTGTTGTTAAACCAAAACCAAACCAATTACCCACCAATTAGACTACTCAGCCAGTCTCAAACCGTAGCCAAACCAAAACCAAAACCAAAACCAAGGCAATTACTGATTGCTTTCGATTCTCAACAGGCCATTTTACAGTTGTATGCTTAGTTACCTGGCCAATGAATGCAAATGAAGCTGGAGGTGACCTTACACACACACACTTCTCTGCTATTCTCATTTAAATGCCAACTAGTTAGGGGAAGAACAACTTGCAAATACAAAACTCTTACTGCTCGATCTGCCCAACATGACCAAGAAGACAATAGGAGACAGGGCGTTCTTTGCAGCCGCACCGACCCTGTGAAACGCCCTTCCAGACGAGTTGAGGGCTTTGGGCAGTCTCAAAACTTTTATGGCACGGCTTAAAACTTATTATTTTAAATTAGCTCTTACCTTATGACCTATGGTATTTTAACATAGATTTTTACATGCAGATATATATAATATGTTTATTTAGTACCCATTTATTAACTATTTATGTAAGCTGTCATTGTATTATTGTAAGCATATTATAAGCATTGTAATTTAAAGCGAATTAGATCATATACCCAAGTATTCTGCGCTATATAAATAATAAATTATCAAGTTAACTTGATTTACGCAACAAAAGCAGTGAGTTCTTTAACAGAACAAGGTCAAGGGCAGCCTCACTGCCAAGTCACTGTTAATAAGACTGTACAATGGTCTATTGTGAGCGGCTGTAGTTGGTTGGTCGATTAGTGCGCAGGTTTAGTTTGATTTGGTTTTGATGGGTTTGATTTGGTTTCGTTGGTTGGATGTTCACGTTTGCTTCTTTGGTTGGTAGCTTAGTCGTTCAGTTAGTTGTCTGGCTGATGGTTGGTTCGTCGAGTAGACCGCTGATTCTGATTGGTTGGTGGGTCAGGTTTGGCTTGGTTGGTGGGTTTCGTTGGTTGCTTGTTTGTTTGGTTGGTTACTTTATTTGTGCGCTGATTTGTTTTGGTTTGGTTTTTTTCGTGGTTGATTAATTCGCTGACTGATTGACTGACTAATTGTTTTTTTTTAATAACAACGGATTGATTGATTGATTGATTGATTGATTGATTGAGTGAGTGAGTGAGTGAGTGATTGACTGATTGATTGATTGATTGATTGATTGATTGATTGATTGATTGATTGATTGATTGATTGATTGATTGGTACTATTTAGCTGGTGGTCAAACCTGGCTCGTGTCGGATAAGACATTTTGGAAGACAAAACAAAGAAGGTAAATAAAACAACCAAACCAAAATGTCTTGTTACGTGGTTTTAACCACTCCTGTGCAAACAATCATTTCGAGTAACATTTCAGATTGAATGAATTTCATGTTACCAGTCCGGTAGTATGCCGGTTTTGAAAGAAGCGAGAACAATGCTTTACGGCACGAACCATAACGTGATCACCATGGCGATGAGTATTTCAAGACATGGAAAGATCCAAAATGGCGGTCGAACGCGGGGGAATATCGGGGTAAAAGTATTCGCTTTTATTTGGCTTTCATTTCGACTTTTCTATGCCTAATTATAGGAAAAGTCGTTATATACGGATAATAACCATTCTTGTGTTAGAATATTGAGCGTAACATGCACAAGGTTCATTCCACGCGAAGTTCACTCTGGCTCTGCCAAGTTTACGCCAAGATGTCAAAGTATTGTATCGAAGAAGGCAAAGATTCGCGTGGGGGATCTTTTGCGTAGCTTGTACAGAATGCAGCTAGGCTATATAAGCTCGAACTTCAAATAGGTATTAGGGAACAGTTTTTCAAGTCTTCGTCAGTTTATTCCATGTTTAATGAAGTACGCAATAAGAGAGTTCTTGTGTTTGCAGTAATTTTGTCCTGTAGATATTCGGTTTAGTTTAGCCTGGTCTTTCTTAAAATCCACAAAGACGGCGAAACCAACGTGATGTAGTATTCGATTGTTGTAGTTTTTCCTTCGGATTCTTTAAGTCTTATGGATGAACACTGATCAAAGCTTTCATTTCCTGAATAAATCCGGCAGTGATTTTGTTTTAAATTTGTCACTGTTTGCTTTTATCTCAAGATAATAATCCAGCACAAGTCTAACTACTGTTTTGTCGCTGTCAGATACTAATATTACTTACTTTTATTAGTGCAAAACTCAACATTTCCCTAAATTCTTAGGCAAAACATAAAATACTTGCGAAGTTGGTCACACTCTACATCAGAAAATGTTTTGGAATAGTGTTAAAGGCTTCAAGGCATGGCTAGGCTGTGTACATATTAGTAGAACCAAGAACAGTAGTCTGCTTGTGATGTATCAAATGTGTCCCCATCAGTCAGTAACCTAATTACAATTATTAAAACTAAGTACAATTATTAAAACTATTGTTTTTGTTGTCATATTAAAGCTTAAGTTGAAAGGAGGTTTGGGAAAAGATACACAGAAAGTTTGGACACTGGCCGATGGGACTTTTCTCCGAAGGACATTTCTCTTCCCTTTCTTCACAAAATGCTAATTGCAAAAGGTGTTCCAAAATTTGGCTGGCTGGTTTAGAGTGAGTGTTTCCTTCCTTTATCTTGTTTGACTTCTCAAATAATTCAGTGTGATGCCTCGCATTGTTGTGAATGCATGCACTGCTTATTTGGGGGCTGAACTCTATATACGTCCTGTATATGCCCCGTTTAATCTGGGGCAGTACGTAAATGTGACAGCGCTAGATCTAGTAGCTGTGGTAGTCTCTTTAGATTGCTTACAAGTTGTAATATTAGCGCCCATCAAATATTCAAAGAAAACAAATGAGATTGAGAAAAATGTAAACTACTGTTTATTAAAAGTTCAAGTACAATATTATTATTAGTTTGATTTTTTAGCACATTCTTGAACCTGAACACAAAAGAGACAACAGAATTAAGATAACAGTATCTGTTATCAATAGACATGGCAACCTAAACAAGTAATGCATTGATCACAATACTTATTTCATCTAACGAAGTCCGGCAAAAGGCAACAACTCTTTAACACTTCTATGTGGTTGTCCATATTTTGGACGGACATCCTAATAAATAAGAAACAAGGAATAAAATAATCATTGACCCAACGGGGGACACACACCATGTAGAAATGTGCATCAGTGCATGTGCATGATACATGTGCCCCTTATCAAACTACGCTTCAGTCAAACTCCAACCTTCTCATGCCATAAAAAAAAATCATTTCACAAATCAGCTTACATGATTCAGCTATCTCAGAATAACAGACTCTCACCTTCTAAACAAGACCAACGAAATAAGTGTGAAAACGAAAAAAGACTCGAAGTACTCGCGATACATTGTTTGTAAACTTCCAGTCGTTTTCCTGTCAGAAGCGATTTCTTATGACGGCTATTTTCAATACGTAGTTGCCATTTTTACTAGCTTGTTGCCACCGATGAAACTTTAGCGACACAACCCTCACATATCGTAGTTTCGAGGAAAATTAGTCCTGATATCGAAAAAATTCGGCAAGCTATTGAAAAAAAAAACAACAACAACAACAAAAAAAAACATAAAAACATGTACTTACATTCGATGCCCGTCAAAATGGCGGCGTCTTCTTCAAAGGCCGTTCAAAAATGACACGAATTTCATCGATTCCTTCTGCCAAACGTTCACAACTCTCGCACAAGGAACGTTCGTGAGCGAAGGCTTGTTATGAGACTTTTAAAAACCCGAATATTACATGGAACCTAGAACCAAGCTTTTCTAAGAGCCCATATTTTTTTCGTGATTATTTTTTTTTTGCGATCTTGGCGAAACAATAGAATCGTGGCGTCAGTGCTTCTTCCAAAACTGTGGATACTACCGGACTGGTTACGCAATGGAAAAGAATAAATTTTATCCCAAGAAATGATGTGGAACAAAGGGATACCTGATTCCGGGCGTACTCCCTGCCTTCTCTTCCAGTATTTTCCTGATAAAATTAGAGGCAAAGGTTCCGTGAAATTATGTTCACATTAGGCTCACAGGGTCATGGACACTGTTCAAGAGTAAGTAAAAAACTATCCATTGCCAACACTAATCATGGAACAATTTTGAGCTCACACTCCGCTCTAAAAGCATAAGTTGATCTATTTACCAAATTAATGGGAGGACGTTGAGTTGAGGACGAAGGCTGGCCACTTTGATCAGGTGGGTTTGCACTCGCTCTCTGACTCTGTTGATGATCCATACGCGACAGCTCCAGCGCTTTGGCTAAGGCCTCCTCATAATCATCTTCCATCTGAAATTGCTTTCTCCGAGATCCCTAATCAGAAATCAGTTTAAAAATCCACTCAGCACAACAACCACGTGGAACTAATCCGAAACTTTCATGAAAGGTCAGTTATGTCTATGTATCAACTAAGATGTTGTTTACCTTTAAATATTTCTCAGTTTGACCATGGTTTGTCGCCGTGAGTTAATTAAGATTCTAGAACCATTAAAAGACATGAAATCTCACAACGAGCAGCAGACCTTTCCGATCTAGCTAACAGGCGTGAAGGATTGTACTCTTATGCAAGGGCGACATGAATGCTCTACGAACATGTTAAGCATGTTTTTTCCAAGGGACTAAAATCAATTCTTCTTGGCAGTGTTTTGATTAGTATCTAGTGGCAATGGCCGTTCTAAAGTCACCTAAAAATTTCGATTCCATATCTTGGTAGATGATCCTAAATGCTTTTGCAACTACTAAACTTATGTTGGCATTAACACTCCGATTTTGTAAACTTGCAATTTCAAACTGAGAAATTAAAGTAAATATGGGCAATGTAAACACCTAACGGTCGGATGTTTCAGCGAAATGTCACGCTAGTTTGATCTGGCCATTTGAAAATTACTCTGAAATTTCTTGGCGGATAAAGACAGAAGCTCGCAAATCTTCTTGGATTTGCTTTTAACATACCTCCATGTTGCTTTCCTTCTATTTCTTGTACTTCCTATGGGTATTACCCTAACTTCAGGTCCCCTTTTCCAAATAAGCGTGTATTTGCTATAAACGCTAAAAATAAAAGAACTATATATGTACAACAAAAATATCCATGCATAATTATCACTACTAATAATATCATAAAACGAATTCCCTTCGTCTACAAGATATCAGATACAATAACAAATATTTATGTCTTCTGCCCTTGTTTCCAAAATTATAACTATGAAGCTGTACCTATGTCAAATTTTCTAGGTCAACAGTCGAGCTTTGTTTGCTAGAGCGCTGAAATATTCTGTACTTCTTGATCTGAATGTTCTTAGAAGACCTCACACTTGTTTCTTGGAATTGTTTGTCTGACAGCTTTTCTTGATAAACATTCCTGAATCGACCTCAGTAAATCACGCAATATTTTACATCTTTTCAGTGGGTTTTCTGACATATTTGCAGGGCTTTTTGCTAGGCCAACTGTAATCTTTCATTTTAAATGGTTATCTGCATGCTTGCATCCTCACCAAGAAACAATAACTCACTAAAAACAGGTCCGGGAGTAAATTCACGTCTCCGCGAAATCGGCGGAGCAGAATCTTCTACTGGCTCTGGGATACAGATTATAACATAGAAAATCATTCTATATCTCACGTTACAAGCAAGCCCTTCTTAGAGAGTTTATCACTGGGGAGCTTTACCAATGACTACGGCGACGCCGAGGACGATGCCTTGTAAAATGGATTTATAGATATTTTACCTTTGAATGTCGCAACTGTGTAGGTCTGTTCAGTACGCCTATCGGTCTAAAACCTTGCTCAGGCTAAATATGAAATGACAGCTTTTCATTCCAAAGGAAGATACGAAAAGTTAGCCATTGCGGATCACAATCTCCAAAATTAATGGAACTTGGTCATTTCACGTTACTGTTTTTCAGATGACGGGTATGAAATGTGCCAAGGTTCGTGCAGAACCGTTGCTTTGCTCATTAAACCTTTTGTTTTGTGACGTTCTCGTTGGCGTCGCCGTCATGGCTTGCTAAAGCTAGTCTGATGGCTGCGACGGTGCTACAACCAAGGGGAACAAAAAAATTGTTTACCGAGTAAACTTCTTGTTGTCTTAAAATGGCCGACTCACGCAAACGCCCCGTTACCGTGAAAACGCTTTGTTTTGATATTTTTCTCTTGATACTTTCCTCTTCAGTCGTTTTTTTTCGCTTATCCATCCCTGGGATTGACAATTGACTAGGTGCCTAAATGCTACGGCTAAGAATACACTGACACGTTGCTTATGTGCAGACATCGCCGCCCTCGATCTGAGATTAGCAAGGCTACGAATTTTCATCAAACTGGCAATACACTTTCAATAGCGACTTTGAAGGAATTTGTTAATACATAGCGGTACATGCACCCGGTCTATCACTATTGTCAGCCTGGAAGTGAAAGAATCGAAGGCCCTACAAATAAGACAGACATTTTTTGCAAAATCGATCGAGAAATGATTAACATTAAAGCCCAAATTAGAAAGGATCTTTCTCATAGTCATCCGTCCTTTACATCCGATAATTTCCACTACATTAACTTACCGTTGGAAGGCAACTTTACGGTTTTCAAGGTAGTGCTGAAATACAACGTACCGAATGACTTCTCCGTGTGATAAGCCGTTCCAAATTTTCTTGATGTTAAAAAGTGCAGATCGTTCTTTGAGACAACCGACGGCAAATCAAGCGTTTCAAGTTGAGTAAACATCCCGTCTTTCTTGGAATCGGACTTATCGTTACATAATCAAAACTGCTGCTAATAGCATGCAATAGAGTTGCGTTCATAGCCGTATACAATTGCTCTGTTATTTTAGGAGTAAAAAGGGAAAGCTCACCACAGTCTGCAAATAAAGTGCAAAGGTATTTTTTGACCAGCCGAAAAGGAATCAATAATAAAAAAAAAGCATGTATGCAGGCTTACAAAATATGATACATTTTACACGGGTCAAACCGCAAACCGATAAGCAGGAATAACGCTTAGAAAAAATTCATATATTCGGGATAGCCGGCATCTCGACCGAATGT